CATCCACACCTACACCCTTATCCTGTCCTGTTGCCCGTCAGGACAGAAAAGTTAGCAGGACAGAATAGGACAGGTTAAAAAAACCGTCTCCTGTGTTCATCTCTAATATTTTTTTTCTTGAAAATAGTATAAAATCCATTAGTTCGAGAATATTAATTGGTGATATTTGCTTTGTACAATGAAAGTAAAAGTAAAACTCTTACTCTTGGCATTTTACAACCCGTGAAAACGGATTTAATTGGCAGAAAAACAGCAGAAATCGTGACGTCTTGCGAAGACGCTCGCCAGTACAGAAAAATTAGCAGGACGAAAACAGAACAGAACAAGATTTTTATTTTTGCCCTGTCCTGCCGCTCGCCAGAACAAAAACAGGACAGGATAAAGTTTTGATATTTGTCCTGTTCTGCCGCCCGCCAGGGCCGCGATAGCTAGCAGGACAGGAGAGAAAATCTTGTCCTGTGCTCATCTCTGTTTGCTATTTAGTGTCTAATATATAAGCATTCTATGAAAAAATAAAGACGAGTATTGTTAATTCATGATATATTGATATTTGTATAGGATTAAATAATAAAATAACAATGAGGATCATGTGATTCTATTACAGGTAGCAGTTGCAGCACGTAAATGATACCAAAACGGACGTGTATTGGTCGAGATTTTCAAATATTTTTTAGAGAACTACCTTAACTTAAATTCATTGAAAAGTATCAAATTTTTTCCATATGATTCTAACTATTGTCAGGTTTCATTTAAATACCAATAATCAATCGTCTCTGGAATAACTTTCGACTGTCTATAACTAGCGAAGTCAAATTTTCGCCATTCGATAGAGCAACGTTGGAGACGTCTATCTATGCAATATTCATTAGATTCAGAAAAGTTCTTCATAGATATTTATAGGTGGAAATCTTTTTCTTTGTTCATATTATAAGTTTTCGTAATAGCCTAGACTAAAATTACACCAAAATGTAGCCCGAGGAGAGCTACATCTTTCATAAACAACACTCATCGGACTACAATTTAACATTCAACCTGCTACGGTGTAGAAATGAACAATGAAAAGGTGTCCATCTGAAAATATTCATGAAGGACTTCTTCGAACTTAATGAATTTTACATAGATAGACGTCTCCAACATAGTTCTATCTAATGACAAAAATCTGACCTCGATAGCTCTAAGCAATAGAAAGCTATTTAAAAAATAGGAATTGGCATTTTAAGATAAATTTGACAAGAGTATCTCAAAACTTCAAACAATAAAAATGAAAATTTTATGTTTTTTTTCGATCTGATCAGTCAAATAAGTGAGACAAAATAATAAGAAGTGGCTGACTAAAACAAAGCAATAAAAAAATTAAAAAAAAACTGATCGTATCAATAGACGTCATCGTCATCATGATTTTGTTTTACTCTATGTAAATCGGCTTTACAATTGGTTCTTAAAATAACCTGTCATCAACGATATTTGATATAGCCTCTAGAGAGCACACGCAAGAAAAAAGAAAAACAAATGATATTTTTATTTTTTATGACCTTTACCTTAATGAAACACGGGTATTCTTTTGAATCTTATCATCTCAAATACCATCCATTTTTCTTTTTTTTTTTACAATCGTGACATATACTACATTTTAGCTTCTAATATATTTGCAGATAAAATGCCCTTTCGTGATCAATGGCGTGATGTAAAATGTCTACATGATGATGGAATTCCAATTGATACAACTAGTAATGAAACAGCAAAATTATTTGATGCAGCTCTTACACAATATACTGGTTGGTAAGTAAATTAATTTTTAAAAAATCGAATCAAATTTTTTTTTTTTTTTAGGTATAATGATAAACAATTAGGTGGTATTGAATCATGCATATCTCGTCTTCTGTCATCTGATCCAACATGTATCACAAGTCGTATTTTTGCTACTGGTCTCGAATTAGTAGCTACAGTATCTCCCTCATCATCTCTTCACTCAAAAATTGTTGCATCACTCGGAGATACGACATCATCTAATAAATATATTAATCTTCATAGTCAAGCTCTTATTCAATGGTCACTTGGTCAATTTTCAAAAGCAGCGGATACATGGGAACAACTTCTTCTCTTTTATCCATTTGATATGATGGCAATTAAATTTGTAGCTGATACATATTTTTACATTGGTGATCGACCTATGCTTCGTGATTCAATTGCACGAATATTACCCATATGGGAAACATCATCAGATCGCCCATTAAAATCTTATTTATATGGAATGTATGCATTTGGTTTAGGTGAAACAAATATGATTGAACGAGCGGAAAAAGAAGCTCGATATGGTTTAGAATTAAATCCATATGATGGTTGGGCAACACATGCAATAGCACATGCTGTTGAATATGCTGGAGATACGTCGAAAGGAATTGATTTTCTAAAGAAAACTAATCAAGATTGGGAAAAATGTGATGTTATTAAACCACATATTGATTGGCATTGGGCTTTATATGAATTAGAACAAGGCAATAGAGAAATAACTGAAGATATCTTAATAAATCGTGTATTAAATAAAGATGGTGAAATGATTATGTTAGATTTCGTTGATATGGCAGCACTTATTTATCGTCTTAAACTTGCTGGACAAAAAGCTTCAACTGTTTATTCATCAACTCGATTAAAAAAATTTTTACTTGATCATTTACATGATCATACATTAATATTTAATGATCTTCATATTTATTTTATATTAGATGATTATGCAGATGCAGAAGATCGAAATAATTTTCTTCGTACATTAAAAGAGGCATATGATACATCAGATTCTGATAAAGGTCATGTTTATCGTCAAGTAGGGAAATATATATTTCAAGCTATGGATCAATTTAAAGAAAAAAATTATTCCAATGTTGTTGAACTTCTTTATCCAATACGAAATAAGATTTATCAGATTGGTGGATCGAATGCGCAACGTGATCTGTTTTATTTATTATTAATACATTCGGCTGTTCATTCTAATAATAATCAACATCAAAAATTAGCTAAGCGATTAATTAATGAACGATGTTTAATGCGTAATAAAACAAAATCAAAATTGATGGAAAATTATGCTAATGCCATACTTAATGATTAATTAACTATAAATGAATGATTTACGAAAAAAAACTAAGATTAGAGTACTGGATTTTCTTTTTAATAAAACATTTAACAATATTTATCTTTCATCAATAGGAATACTATGAAAAAATTCAAGTCATATTTCTCAGCAATTGGGTAGAAATTTTCCGTGAAGAAGTTTTAAGTTAATGTTTGATTTTGATACGAAATAGCTCTAAATATGTCTATATTGATGGATATTTACTAGTTAGCTTGAGTAAAAAATAAATATGTCTCAATGATCAAAAGTGTAGCTCTGGATATTGAACTCACACTTTCGCGTCATACACTGAACGAAATTTCTGTTAAGGAACCTACAAAAGGTTTATCGCACGGATACAAACTCGAAACCATATTTTAGTTTCGTATCAAACCCAACAAAACTTCCATAAGAAAAACACAAAACATGCTTCACTCGACAAATCTTTCAAAAGGTTCCGTTTCTTTCGTACGGAATCTTCTTAGGTTGCATAGCAGAAATTTTTTAGGGTGTACGCCAGGAGGGCGTTGGATCATGCTGAATCAGTTTATTATGGTCATGAAAAATTAGGAAGCTATCAGACGTTAAATCTGGTCTGAAGTTTAAGTTTTCCACCTCGAAACTTCAAGCGCACCTTTTGGTATTACTTTTTACCTACTGTTAGAAACTCTGAATAGGTAGGTAGTGGTTGTAAGTTCATAATTTTATTGGAAAAATATTAGAAACGATTTTCTCCTGTTGTAAAAGTTACACCAACTAATAGTCTCATGTAACTATGAAAATAACTATGTACGTATTAAGAAGCCTAAAAATATTATTTTTAGCATAAAAAACCGAAGTTTGTATCTCATATTATGTTGTTATTGCTTGTATGAGCTTTGTATGAATCGGCAAGCTTTTCCGTTGTGTTGAGGTTAAATAATAATTTCAAATAGAACAACATCAAACTTATTAGCTTTTCAACGGATAATATATCTCTATTGAAGAAAGTCAGGCAAACAAAACCTAGATCTTGTTTAATATCAGTTGATGTAAGTGACTAAGTCAAAAGTTCTGAACGAATTCTCCATTCGTTTCTATATTAGTATATATGAAACGTGCTAGAATAAACTAGAAGTTAGTTCTATTAGAAACGTCAAAACTTAGGTCTATTTCACCTTTTATGTCTTCGTAGAATGGTAGTCTTGTTCTCAAAAAAAAAATCTAGTTCATTAATTGATATATTAAACGGGCTAGCTTTTCATCGGTTAAATTAAGGATTTCAACTGAATGGTCTGATAAAAAAAAACTCGAACGGTTCCAAGTATGATTTGCTGTGTAAATAGAACATCAACGAAGAACAAAGTTTCATTCGAAATTCGAAATCTTATTTGTTTGTCACTCAGAGTTTTGATGCTTGCTAACATTAATTTTTTCTAGATGAATTCTCAGCTTGGATAAAGTCATTGGAAGTGAACAAAAAAATAGCTCAGCAACTTTATATGTTAACCATAAGTAAATTGATGAAAGAATAAAAAATGTTCACGAAATGCCGATTTAATCACTTCCTAAATAATTCTCATTCACATTTTTCCTTACTTAAAGAATTGTGATATGAATGATATTCCTAATATTGCATCGTCGTTTACGATAACAAGCTTAAAAATATCCTCTGTTTTGTTAGATCAAAACTATCAAAGAATGATGAAAGAAAAAGGAAAATCAGTAAATCATAGACACAAAGCCTTTTCAATTTTTCATAGTCCAACAAAAATTTGTTAGTTAAAGATCGTCTCTAATAATAGAGTAAGTATCAAAAGACAAAGATATTTCTCTAGGTATTTTCCATGCAAACAAAACATTTTCGTTTAGTGCATTTTCGAATTTTTTTAGCAATATATGTAATTAACATAAATTATATTTGAGATTTGAGATAATACAACTGTTTTGTAGTCATTTGATTTGATTGCCATGCTATTCGAAGTATAAAATCCAATGAATAATTTGTATTCCATTGAGTTCGTTTACGTAATATCTCATCGTATGAACCATTTTTAAAGAAAAATTTCGAAAACATTTGGTTAGTCTAAAACATGAAAAATCTAATTAATTATCAATGAGACAAATTGAAAGAAAAAAACAATACGAACATGCCAAGCATGAATATGTATAATTTCAACTTCATGAAAAGATGTATTTGTTGTACAACTATAATCAATTAAATATGGTTTTTGTATTAATTTTATTTGTCCATGTCCAGCATAATGATTTATTGCTAAATGACTGGCATACATGGATACAACCTATTTTAAATTATTAAAACAAAGTCATCAAATTGATTAACTTACTCCAATATACCATTGTGGCCAAGAGAGTATTGATAATCTTTGATCTTTTTCCACTAAGGTAAATTCATTCTGACATAACCATACACTTAACCAAAGAGCTAAACGTCCAACTAAAACAATTTGTTGTGGTGGCCCATACCTTAAGATCGACATAAATGATAAAAATTAGGCAAAGAAAAAGAATTTTTTTTCTAACCATGTTGATCCAATATGTGTTAAATTGACGTCTAATAAATTCAATGTTTGAGCAATACGAGAGAGTTTATTTAATGTATAATCAAGACTATAACCACCAAGACCTATTTATGAATGTAAGAGTAAATAGAAAGTTTTTGAGAATAAAATGTATTAACAAAAACTAAACCTATTTGAAACGAACAATCAAATGGAATATAATGAGCAAAATGTGGTGTTAAAAAAACATCTAAATCTGTTCGTAAAACGTAATCATATTGATTTAGAAAATCAGAGTTTTCAAGTAAAATTCCTAATGAATCAAGATGACGACACCATTTTGGTACATAAATTTGAATTAATCTTAATAATTTATTATTATTTTTTATTTTATCCCATAAAGAATTATAATTAATTCTAAAGCAATTATTTTTTGATGCTTTGTTATTGTATTCATAACAACCTAATTCATCTAATAATGATGAAGGTAAAGAATAAATAAGGATATCAGTTTGCCAATCGATAGGTTGATTTTTGATGATTTCAATCCATGAAAGATATAACCATTTTAATTCTGATATATAAACTGATGAACGTTCAACAGGAAAATGAACGATTATTGCTCGACGAATATTTTTCTTTTCAGTTTTTGTAAAACAATATTTTGGTGTCACATGCAAATTATCTTCATGATGAATATCATCAAATAAAGTGGGATGAGAAGAAGAATATGTTGAATAAGGATAATGAATAAATATGTATAATAATATTAAAATAAATAGAAATATGAAAAAACTTCGTCTTCTTCGACGAATCATTTTTATTTTGTTTATTAGAACATAAATGTTATATATTTACATATATTACAAAAAAAATCAGCAGGAAGTCAAGAAACTCATTACTTTTTCAATATGTTTAAAAAATAAGAAGAGAATATAACAGAAGAATTATGATAAAGTATTCATGATCGAATTAATTGTTCGTAGTTTTATTAGGCTTTATTGGATATTATGTATAATGATCAAGAGATGTTCACAAAATGTACTAAATGATTTCGACGATCATTTTATTTAATTCTTTTCTATCATCTTCATTTGAACTTACATCTATAGATGAAGACGCTGAATATCAGTTGGTACAGCCCTTGACAGTTTATTCTTCAAGTTTTGACGCTCTAAAACTGTAAAAAAAATGTTCTTTTTGAAGATGAAAAATTAATGTTCAAAGTTGCAGACTATAAATATTTGACCGTATCATGGTCTATACCCTAACCTGCTCTATGAATACCTGTAATAGTTATTTAAATAATCACTTGTTGTGCAGAAAAGGAAATGCAAGAAGCAACAGAATATTGATCGATACACAACTACATTGGAAAAAAGTTCATGTATTAATATAGACATATATTCTTTCATTTTTTGTTCTAATACTTAATTTTAAAAGGACAATCACCTATACAATCTCTTTCTCATACTTTAAATATTGAATCATGTTTTATCTTTTTCTTCGATGCTTCTTGAAAGAATAGCATAGTTTGTTAAAGAACTGAAAGACAATGATATACTGTCATTAACAAAACACATACTTTCGTTTTATAAGACGTGAGACAGTATAAGCAAAAACAAAAGCGATATCTATTGAGTAAATTCTCACATGTAACAAGGTTAACTATCTTGAAATCATAGACAGATGGCGTACATAAACAAGTAATAAAATAATAAAATGAGGTTTTCACAAAAACGAATGACTAAAATAATTTTATTTATCTATAATCTTTATTCTAAAATACAATCTTATTTGCTTCACATTAATACTAATAATCTGTTTTTATGTCCATTGCCATGCAACCAACGATTTATTGAATATTTTTCTAGTTGCCATCAATAGTCCACAACAACAGCGGAGAAATTAAAATCCTCTTAGCATTTGTCATTCTATCGTTGTTGCGGTTGTAACACAAACAAAATACATCTATTCATTTAAAATCGATCACGAGCATATTAAGAATGTTATTTTTTTTTTCTAGTTCTTCATTTTCTTTTTAGATGTCTATTTATTAGAATAGAAAAAAGAACGATTGTATTCACTTGTGTTACCATTATTTCTTTTTCTCTATTGTCATTGTTCTGATTAATATACAATTAAATTCTCATAAATAATTAATAACAATGACTAAATTATGCATCTGTCAAATTTGCACATGCGGGTAGGCTTATATTTTTATATAATATAACTGAGAAAAAATAAAATCTAACGTTAATTGAGGAGTAAAGAACAACGTTCGAAACTATGTCATATATTTCATGATGGTTTTTTTTCTTCAAACAAAAATACCAGCTGTTGCATATTCTATTTAGGAAACATCGTTGTCCACATCGTCCTTATGGTATTATTGGTAAAGGCGATCAACCATGTGCGGTAACTGAATATCGTTCAGAATTTATTCCTCGTGAAGGTGGTGTACGAGAATCATATAAACCTGATTATAAATTACAAACAAGTACAGCACCTTTAGATGATGAAACAACACATAAGTAATTTGAATAATTGAATAGAAATCTAATAGTAAATAAATTATTTAGACATGATTTCATAAGATATGCTCTTGATAAACAACGTTCATATAAGCCGGAAGAAGTTTATACTCCTCGTGGAGAATTTGATTCTTTAACTAGTTATAATAAAGAATATACACGTAAGATAGATAAATATAAATATAATTTCTTAAGTTATATTTGTATATGAATTTAGCCAAAGATGGTGAACGGGCTAGACCGATTAGACATGATGGTCAACGAACAATATCAGCTCCATTTGAAGGCGATCCAACATATCGAAGTATGATATCTAAATCTTATTTATTTAAGTTATTATTTATTATTATTCGTTCTATAGCTGATTATCGTAAATGGGATACAGGACGAACTGAACCAATTCGACATGATGCTGGATATGTAAGATTATTTAAAAACAAAAAACAAAAATTTTTCTCATCGTCTTTTTTTGTTGTCTCTATCGAAGATTCCACCATCGGATCCCTTTCGAGGTGAAAGTACATATACAACTGATTATTTAAAACATCAAGCAGCAATGCGTCAACCTATTCGACCTGATCAATCGGTTTTACAATCGAAAGATCCATTTGATGATCGTACTGGTTATCGTACAGATTATATACCTCATCCACAACAAGAACGTTTTCAACGTGCAAAAGAACAATATATTCCAAATCAAGTAGCTTTAGATTCATTAACAACACATCGAAGAGATTTTACACCAAAAGATGGTACAAAATAAAACAATCATTAGAAAAATATTTTTATTATTATTATTTTAGCTGATCGAACACGTTCAATGAAACCCGATTTACAAGGTTATCGATCAAATGCTCCATTTGATGATGCAACAACAAATAAAACAGATTATAAACCTTGGGAAGTTCAACCCATACAAACACATAGACCAGATGAATATCGTGCAAATCCTGCTGAAATGGATTTAAATACAATATATAATTCAGAATTTACACCAAAACCATTATCAAAAGTATCAGCTATTAAACCAACTGAAAGACGTGGAACTGATGCAAAATTTGATGGCAATACAACTTATTTAGGTGATTATAGAAAATGGCCTGGAGGGCGACCACCAGCTATACGATCTCAAGCTGGTTATGAACCTCCAAGTATGCCATTCGAAGGATTATCAACATATAAAGGTAAAATAACAATTTAAAAAAATATTTATTATTTGAATTTTATTTCTTAGGTCATTATATTCCACATGATTCTGGACCACAACGATCATTTAAACCTGATAATACTGCTTATAGATCAAATGTTCCATTTGATGATGCGACTATGTATAGAACAGAATATACACCAAAAGAAATTCAAGCATGTCCAGCTGCTCTTCTTGAGTAAATTTCTTTGTTTTTCTTTTCTTTTCATTTTTCTTTAATATTGATGTTTTTCTATCAATGTAGTACACCAAGAAGTAATTTTGTACTCCATCATACGGAAGAAACAGGTCATAAATTTTATCAACCACAACATGAATTATTTCAAACTCAATATCAACAACAACAACCTCCTATTGCCGTTTAATATAAAGCATTTAGCAGCTTATTTTATAGTGAAAGACAAAAACAACAACGAGTTGTTGTCATATTATTATTTTTTAATTATTTTTTCCCTTTCTTGTCGATTATTCATTAATTCTTTATTCGGAAGAGTATTATTTAAATTATTCCATGACGTTCTTTACCTAGCCCTAAATCTATTTTTATTGAGAAATACATATTTCAAAAAAAAAAAAAGAAAAGAAAAACATATTTGTCTTCTTTTTTGTTGAATACGTTAAAAGACATAGTAACAATCGTTTAATGAGTGAAGCGTTATAAAAACCAATCGAAGCCATTGAAAGATTACATCAAAAAGCTTTGCTTTCATCGTTATAATTTCGTATCCATTCGTCTCAGTGTTTTTCTTATATAAAAAAAAGAAGATTTTTGACTGTCATCAAATTGTTAGAAACTCTATTAAAATTTCTATGATGAAAATATCAAATGTACTATTAAACATGGTCAAAATTGTAATTCAATATTGTTCTTCAGTACATGTAAATTATATTCCTATATATTCTATTACAAGTCTTGATTTCTTTGTATAACATGGAAGAAATATGAAATTTTAAATGACATCTTTCAAGGAAATAACATGTTACATATTAAATTTACTCATGAAATATCTATAGAAAGGAACAAGATATATGTAAAGCTGTATTGTCAATACTAATATTTACCTGTCATAAAAACCTCACGATTTATGACCAATTTCTTATCGTCAACAATACACTGATCAAATTAATGATTACAATTTTGTGTTCGTCAATTCTTTTTTCTCCTACTGACAAAATAGTTTCAGTATTGTCTGAAGAACGAGACTAATAGAACTATAAAATTCTCAAGAACATTCATCATGTACGAATGATAATGATCATTTCGAAATAAGTTTAAATTAAGTACGTAAGTCTACCAACATAGTTTCGATATATCTCTTGCTCAATGAATTATGAATTGCAAAGAGTCGCAAAAAATTGTTTATAAAATAAGTTCATCGCTCTACTCTTTTTATACAAGACAATTAATCAAAAATTAGTTTCTATAATATGAATAAAAATTAATGAGAATATATCTAGTTTGATTCTGATTGCAATTCTAGTTGTGGTTTGTCATGAGATCACTACATCATAATTTGATCCTTATTAGTCGTAGCAAAAAATTTAACACTTTAGGACAAACATCTCTTTTCAGCGAATCTTGATTCTTCTATTGTAGTATGACTTATATCTCATCTATACTCTTATGAATAATGACTAAATTTTAGTATGCATACAACTGAAGATTCTATAGAAATTAAGAATAAAATCATCTCAAACTATTATTTTATGAACGAGTACTACCTATCATTAAAAAGTACTCCGTTACACATTTTTTTTATGAAACTTTTGTATATTTTTGAAGAAATTAGTGAGTATAAGTTTTTGAATTGAAGTATTACGGTTTTTCTTCTTTGCAATACAGGCTATAGCAACTTAGAATAATTAACATCAAACTCCTTTCCCAAAGTTTTCTAGCAACGAGAGAAAAGATGCTAAACGACATTAACGTTAAGACTTAGACTATTCTACAGAATCCTAAAATATTCCTCGTAATTTAAATGGTTGGATTAACTTTGTGAATATTTTAAATAGTGAAGTTTTTGATATTTGCTCAGATAAAAATTTATATTCAAGCTGACAAGGATGATAGATAATGATGCATTCATTTGCTACAGTCATCATATGATTAGTATTTTTAAAAAAGTGTGAATTGATCAAGATATAGAATAGAACGCTAAAGCCTGCTGCTCCAGACATAATGGATATTTACAAAAGCCTTATTTGTCATTTGATTCAATGTTTATAATAATAGTAATGTTGAATAAAGAAAAACAAAATCCATCAAAGAGAAATAACAAGCAAATAGCAACCATGCAAATAAAACATAGTACGCCCAAAGAAAAAGAAAAAAAAAGTTTTGTTTAAATGCAGTAATAATTCAGACAGATTCTTATTTTGGTAATCAATTATTTTGGCGAGCAGCTATAGCCTATGAGAGATTTTTCACTTTACGTATTTTGTATTAGTTTTAAAAGGCTAAAGAATATTTGTGAGTTCCACATTTGAACTCTAAACAAGCTGTGCTAATAAGCAATTGTTTTATTATCAGGGTAATTTCATATATTCTATCAAAATAATAATAAGACAATGATGATAATTATAACTTTAGTTGAAATCTCTGAAGAGAGGGGAAGATCGATACGATAACAAGAATTCGCAAAACATGATGAAAGAAATGGCACATATATTATCAGCCAATTTTTTTTGTATCTTGGATAATGTTAGGATATTAAAACTTCTGACAAAAGCTATGAAATATTCAGTGTTAGTAAAACAAAAGCATGGTTTCTAGAGCAAGGCGACTTCCATATAAAGTATGTAAAAACGGTAGCTAGTATTTTTAGATTCCGATCATTAAAACTTGGTTTTTATTTTAGATAAGCATGATTTTCAAAATCAATATGCAAAAATACATCGAACACTCAACATTTCATCATAAAATATCTTTGCTGAAAAATTTTTAGCTTTACTTCACCTCAGCTTTTTATTCATAAAATTTTAGACTGTATCCTCTACGGGTAAAATTTGATTGACAGTCTTCTGTAATGAAAGATACATTTTTTCCATACTGGCTCCAAAAAACTATATTTGTTATTTCATATCATCGCACCATTCGCAGTCTGAAAAAAGAAAAAGTAACGAAAGGATTTAACTAATGGAAAATGTACCATTTCCTTTTGTTTCTTAATATCTCTAAATATGATATGCTACAATGAAATTTGTGCTAGGTATAAATTCTGAAAAGCATAAAAGCTATGTCTGGTTGACATAAATCAATATTATTTATTGAAAAGAAGAGACAAGAGAAACAGAAAAAAAAGAATCTCTTCGTCCAAAAAAAACATCTCTTCTTTTTTATACAATATCATAAACAAACAACGTTACACACAAAAAAAAATGTACAATGAACAAAATCTGACATAAAATAGGAAGCATTATATTTGATCATATATACAAAAAAAAACAAAGAACTATCGACAAATGTCTAACATAATAGAGCCAGAATATTTTTTAATATTATAGAACAAGAAAAAGACTAGTTATTATATCTGATTGAATGCAATTATTATTTCATAGTAACTATTTTCGGTTTTACATGTGTTGATGTTAAATTTGTATGCTTATGTGTTAATTTCTTTTTATCATCAATAATAACATTTGGTTTAATTTTTACTTTTGATGATGGTGGTTTATTTGTTGATATTGATGAACATGTTGATGATGTTGATCTAAAATGCATTCGTAATAAACGAAAATGAAATACAAAAAAGAAACGTTTCTTAGCATAGCTTTTTTTCGGGCTGAAATATGGGGTTCATATGTGTTCTTAAACCTCATTCTACTAATACGACATAGTTAAAGTGAAAAATCTTTAGTAGACTATAGTTGTTCCCCGACATAATCGAACGCCAGAGAAACAATCCGCCTTATTTCTAACAGAACTTTTTCCTAGTTTTTGTTTGAGTTATTGCTTATTCTAATCGTTGATCTTACGGGCAAGTCAGCCTGTTATATATATTTGTTAAATCTTTATTGACGGAAAATCACGTTTCCTTGAGAGAGTATGACCAAAGTTTGTAGGGATCAAAGAATCCGAATCTATAATCTATTTCTCAGTCAAGTGTTCGAAAATAACCTTGGTAGCACTGAGAAATCAAGTATACAATTTGAAGAGATTGACTACAGATTTGAACTCCTTGATCTCGAACATCTTCGATCAACCTTTATATATTTTTCAAAATAGCCTTTTCATGATAAACTCACGAATTTGCCATCATCTGAGGACAGGCAACTCGTAACATACAAATAACTTCCTAACTCTAATACTGATTGTTATTATTAGGTAGGCAGATCTTCTCTATAACTCAAATGAAAATAAAGAGTAATTGTAAATGTTCCCAGAGACTTATCGAAGAGAAAAATTGGTGATATTAAGTGCTTCAATTGTTCCGAATGATTCCATGTGACTCTAATACCACATAATCAGCTTTTCTCTGTTGGTTTAGAGGCTTTTTTCGTTGCTGAAGAACTCTAGTAAAAGAGTCTAATGCTTGCTGTATTCGTAAGAAATCATAACGTTAACTTACTTATTCAAATTTGTAGTAACAAATGGTGTTGAACAGAGTGGTCCTCGTGCATTCGAAACTTTTTTACTCGATCTACATTCAGTTAGAAAATTTATTCAAGAAAAAAAGACAAAAGAAAGTATAATACTTTGATCGATTCGTTTCATTATTTGTATCTTTTGAAATTACATTGTTAGTAGTTCTTGATCGATCAGCTGATAATAGACGAATGAAATAAATAAAAATTTGAAAAATATGATTAATTTTTACTTGATATATCTTTTATTGGCATTCGACCAGTAGCTAAAGAAGATTTCGCTGTTAAATGTTTCTAAAAATTATGTCAACAATAATAATTAAGTCTTCTTTTCATTATCTAATCTAACCTGTTGTTGAATACTTCTCATATTCTCCATTTCTTCACGAAGTTTTCTAAAAAAATAAATAAATTTTATTATGCATTTTATTTTAATCACAGAAATCAGTTTATACGTTATGATTGTTTCATTCTCAATTAGTTTATTATTCATTTCTTCTTTAATTAATTGATATTCAGCTACAATCTGAATAAATTTTAAAAAAAAAAAGACCATAGAATTTTTCTTTAGTTAAATTTTAATAAAAATTACTTTATCAAGTGTTTCTTTTTCTAATAATAACATCATATGATTATTTCGAAGATTATCAAGTTCAAGATTCTAAATATGAAATATATTAAATAAAAAATGATAAGAAATTCATTTACAGCTTGAAAGAATAATTGTTCTTTATCAGCCAAAGCTGCGTTGAATTGTTCACGTTGTAAATTATGTTCTACAATGAGACTTAAACAGTAGCTTTATTTTACTTTGTTCTTACCTTGTATAAGTGTTTGAATTTCTTGTTCATGTTCTTGTTTTAATCTTTCCAATTCAGTTTCATGTGACTGTAAGTTTAAAGTAGATGAAATATTTCATTAATTTTCAAAATACAATTCATCAACGTTCATAGTATTCAGTTTTATTTGTATTTTTGACTCCATATCTTCAGAAGGGACACTCAACACTGAAGATTGGGAAGGTACGCATCACGCATAGTATGTCTCTGCATCTTTTTGGCTAGGAGAAGAATAAGAAAACTTTAAACTCGTTTGAATTGCATAGTTCTTTGCTTCGAAGATAAAGTCAATTCAAAAAAAAACTGAACGATATTTGATCTGCATAGTATATCTTTCTTACTAAATTATTGCACCATATAGATGCTCACAACACAAATATTACACTTGTCTTAACAAGCGCAGTATTGTCGATTAAGAAGGGAATGATGCGAACTTTCTCCTTCCGAAAATTTCGAAGTTTCTACAAAATCTTATAATTCTGATAGAACGAAAATATTAGTGAACTATCTCCATCATGAGAAGAGCTCGTGTTCGTAGCGTGTTTCTCAATGTTTCGAATCTTTCAAGTGAATTTTGATTTTTAGAACCGCACAATTGCAGTAAGAGCATCTTTTCTAATGTCAATCGGAAAATTTGTTTACATGAAGACGTCAATTAGACTAGTTTGTGTAAAAAAAGGTTTTAAAATTTTTCACCTAAATCTCTTCCAGATACAAAGCGTTCACAAAATACGTGCTGCCACTAGAGTTTATGAAAGAATCTACACTCGAACATTTCACAGACACTTAATTTCAATGTTCTCTTATTAGACAAAATATCGTAGAAAGTCGAACGAAAATACTTTCGGTCGAATTTTTAGCCTCGTCCCTCATTTAAATCAACCTTCTCTGTGACGATTTCTAGCATAGATGTGAATCCCTCTTTTGGTCTCATTGATACTTAGATTATAGAAAAAGAAAACACCGAGTCGCAAATACGGAGTTAATGACAATATTTTTTTTTCTACGTTTAAATATTAAATAATTACTTTTTTCAATAAAACATATTCGAGTTGTAAATTAGTGTTAGCCTAAGCATTGAACAAATCAATGATGAAACGTTTTATTATAAATTAAATTTACTTCTTCTAAAATTTTATTTTCTTCTTTTAGATTCATTAAATCTTGACGAGCATCGATTTCTAAAAAAATAATAAAATTTTTAAAATTCAATCTTTAATTCAGTTTTAACTAACGTTTAATAAATTTATTTGTTGGTGTACATCCACCTAATTTACGTTTATTATTTGTTGGTGTTTCAGTTACATTTAATACTGTTTGATTGATATTAACACCGGAAAAATTTTTACGTCTTGTTGAATATGCAAGTACTGGTTGTCGTCGTAATTTTATACTAAAATTAAATATGTCAGTTTTCGAGAAAGAATAACAAACAAATACCTTGTATTCGAGTCTGAATTTCTTGTTGAATCATCTTCATCAATAAGAATCGGTAAACGTGCAAGTGCTTCATTAAGGGCATCTTGATCCATTGGTCGAATAGGTCGATTATCATAGTCGGAATAATTATTCTCATCTTGTGAAGTATTTATCATTGGATCAAGATCCATTTTATTTTGTTTTTTGCAGAATTATAAATCTGAAGATAATGAAAGAATATTTTTATTTATTTTAATAGATATGATTTATATATTTAAATTATTTGACAAGAAATAAAAATAATAATCAATTATTTAATTGCTAGCAGCACGAAAATGATCATCATCTGTTGTTGAACAAAATGTAACCTTCACCAGAAAGAAATTCCAAGGCTTGTCTAAATAATATTTAATTCAACAAAAGCTATAATTTAAATATGAATACAGATCTTGTACATTATTTATATCAACCATGATTACTCTATCCGAATGGAATATCAAACAAAGATTTTGGAATTAGTCAAAATAGATTTTTACAACTAATTTTGAAATCTGTGTTATGGATTTCATGGATTTCGACCACAACTTCGAATAGAGCAAACATGGTTGATACAAGCAATTCACAGCAACGACATTCTTAATAATGAAAAAATGTCATCTTCGACGTCATATTCTAGAAATCAGTGCATTTTTATAATAAAATATTTTACTTGACTTGATATTCATTAAACTGTTTTAATTGTTTACATATTTCTGTAACACTATAACCAGTCATTGATGTTACAGTTTTTAACAGATTAAGAACAGCATTTTGAGCAGGTGTAAAATCATTTGATAGTGTTGATGTTTGTTGACTGTGAAGATTACTTCGATCAGGATTATTATTTATTGTCATTGATGTTCCCCATCTAATTGAAAAGAACATGTGTATTTTTTCTTAAATATTCGACTAAACATACAAGTTCGCCTTGTTTTCGAATATTCGTACATATAGATAGATCTAAGTTAAAAAACGAACTTGAACGCTACCATTGTCATTTTCACCAGCAACTTTTCGTTGTTGAAAACTGCTTCCACCCACTTTTTCTAAAAGATGTTATGATTGATTATTTTAATCTACGTGTTTATTATTCTTACCCCAGAGAGCCATTGATTTTATTTGATTTAATTTGAAGAAAGAATGATGGTCAATGTTAATTAGTTGAACACAAGGATAATAGTCTTGTAATTAGCCAATCATTATGTGTGTGAATGTCCATTAGATAGATAACAATTCTTTTCTATAGGTGCCGTTCACAGGTGGCAAATATAAGAAAAACAATGTAAAACAAATAATTTTATTTGAAAGTTCTGAACATATGTAAATTGAATTTTTATTTTCTAAACAATTAGTTAAGCATTAACATAGAAACATCTATCTTTTTTATTTTCATGTATTTCAATGATTATGGTTGAACTCTATCTATTATTATTGTGAAAAATTTAAGAATAAACATCAAGGATGACATTGATCCAAAAATCTAAGAACAAAAATCTTCCAAATTTTCAATGAACAAAACATCGAGACTTATTTTAATAAAAGAAGAATTACATATAGACAGATATAAAAAAAAAAGGATTTATAAATTAATCGACTAGAAACAAACGAGCCACCAATATCGATTTTTGTATCCAAGTAAATGATTTTGAAGTCTGGATTCGGGAACTATCGGTAGGTTATAACCGGCAAGACTCAATTTTCGGTTAAAAAACTCTGAAAAAGGGTAAGAACTCAGAAAGAAGAGTTTAGTAACCAAATTTTTACATTTCTCATCGTAATCGAGCATAGCTGGTCACTCATAGCTGATCACTGGATTCTTTCTTCCAAGTTTCTGCTGTTTTTCAGAGTTTCCCAGCCAGAAACGACTAGTATTACGTAGTTTAAGTAGTTCGAGAAAGTACTAACACTATTTTTTTTCTTTGCTATTGTTTTCTTGACGGTTAACTAGTTTTTCATATAATTCATATTTCTAATCATCGAATCGTTGAATCTGAAATTGTTTTCATGCAAGCCTATGTTCATAGCAGAATTATGAAATGATTTAATGTGCAAATCTCTATAAATTACGGCTTTCTCTGTAGCCTAGAACTATGGTTAGCAAATACCTGCAACTTGGTAAGTCTTATCTATAACATGAACTTTTCAGATTTGTTCCATCAGTGTATTTTGCAAACTTACATGCCTCTTGATCAACTTGAGAGATCACTTTTTCTGAACTCGATAGAGGCTCGTCGAGTTGATCACGGATCCGACGGGCTCAAGACTCTATTGAACCTAAGACTGTTTCTCATGTTTGTCTGTAGATTATTTTCAAGAAAAAAAAAACGATTAAATGAGTGTAGAGTTTTGAATATAGAAATAAAAAAATTAGTTAACAAATTATTTTTATTGAGAAATAAACAGTAGAACATTTGACATGAAAAAAGACATACTCAAAATGAGTAACTCATCAAGTTATTCATCTTATCCTTATAATCTATTATGAAAATAAATTGATATAATTGGAATTCGAGAAAATTTTTGCTTTAATCTTGGTTGAGACCAAATATAAGTCAATGGATCTGTTATAGTTGCTAAAAATATAAATTGTCCAGAAAAATCAGCAAATTCTTCAAAATAACATTGAATGTATCCAAATGATGGTAGTATAAGAATTAAATCCATTAAAATCATAATAGCCCATGGCAGACGACATAAGAAAAACGAAAGAAATATAATAAATGAATGTTTAGCTAAACGAAGATCTTTTCTATGTATATCATTAATCGAAATATTTTGATGTCTTACAGGATTATTATGGTTTTCATCAATAATAACCGGCATAACCACATTATTCTGATATTTTCTTAAAACGAAAAACATTTTTACATAGATAAAACCACTTATTAATCCAGCACTAATCATACAAAATAAAAGAATAAACATTATAGGATGAAATGCTACAGTAGATTGTCCATAACATGTATTTGAAGGAGAATATGCTAATGCTTGATAAATACCAACAATAATACCCAATAATAAACTGATAAAAATCCAAATTATAATATTTTTTAAACGAACAAAATCTCGTTGTTGATGAGAAATAATATTCATATTTAAATTTCCATTTCTTCTTACAATTGTACGTAAACGTTCGTAAGCAATAGCAATAAAACCAAATGGTTGTATTACATTAAAACAAGAACGTACAGCCATAGTAAAACGACAAAAATTTATTATTATTTTATAATATTGAATAAAATAATTTTGTTCGTGACAATGCATAATTGTTAAATTTAATGTTTTTATTAAAACAAATGTTTCTAAAGGTGCACAGACAAATGCACGAATACAATCTGTACAAAAAATTACAATAATAAGTAAATTTAAAGATGTATGAAATTGAGAATGAAAATAAAATTCTCGAAGAATAAATATTGTACAAAAACTACCAATTAATAAACCCAAATACATTAATAATATTGAACTTATACGACAAAAATAAATTATTATTGATGTTATCATTTTGATAATAATGTTCAGTTAAGAATATGTCACTCTTTTTATCTTACAAATGTTATTATAATAACATAAAAATGTATTTTATCAATTATGGCTAACATATTTAAAACTAGAGTCTATTTTCACCTACTTGAAATTATTACAGATATTGATTCGTAAAAAAAAACGATACAGCCAGATAAATGTTGATCGTAGTAAGACGTTTAAATATAACATTAAAATTTTTTGTAATGCACCAACGTCAGAGAGTCTAATACATAAAGGATCATCTTAAATAAAATCTTCATCTCTACTTATACTATAAATAATCTAGAAAAAAATAGTAATGCTCACTGAATAAAAGTAAATCTATTTTTCTTCTTTTGTTTTCTTCTTATGAATTGACTCTATTTGTATGAAATTTTTTATCAAACTTTTACAATTAATTATATAGATATTTTTATCTTTAAAGAAATAATTTTTTTTTCTTTTCTAATAAAATAAAGCACATGAGATCCAATCAAAAAAGATCCAACGAGTAGTGTAGAGTAAACAGTGCTCTCACTACTTTACTAATAACTGGATCCATTTTCATCATTTAGATTTAGTATCATTTTTCCGAAGATTCACAGTATCATATTGTACAAAATGTAATCATTGATTCAACTAAGGCATTATTCTTCATTTGAAGAATAGAACTCAAATGAACAGGGACATAATACGCAATTTCCATCATTTTTTTACACAAATTTTACTCATTCTTAACTTACTAAAAAAATGGAAAAAAATACTGGCTTGAAAAATTTTGTTTTATTTTGCTTTTTATATAAATTGTTTTCTTTAAATGAAGGAACATATCTTTGTTGAGAAAATAATTCCATTTTGTACAAAATAAAATGATGAGTCTTATTGAAAAGAGAAAAAGCATAAATGATGAACATTGGCTAGAATATCGAGTCAAAAAATCTGAGATTCTCCATTATTCTACACCGCCAGTTATTTTTCACATTCTGTAATTTTCGTTAACATTTAAAAATGAAAAGGAAATACATGAAAAACAATATTTGCATATTAGCAAGTAAACGCGTTTCTTGTGCATCTATTTCTCAGCTGTAAATAAAACGATCATCAATACTATTCGGAAATGAATGAGCAACAAACTAGTTGAACTGTCAATTGAAGCAATTCTCTGCATATACCAACGGCCTTGAATTTGTGTTGTCGAATATAAAAAACAAGCACAAATGAGCTGAAAGATAAATAACCATACATACGACTAACAAAATAATCTCATGCATAGATCATAAGACATCCATCATTTATTAACTCATAAACAAGAGCTAAATATGGGTATGGGTGTTTGGTTCTTCTAACACCCGCACCCGCACCCGCACCCGCACCCGCATTTCATATCCAATACCATTCCAACCACCCACACCCACAAATTCAATAAGTCAAGTAGCTATAATCATTTCATTTCATTATTAACTCCAACATTATATATTAGAATTACATATTTAGATGCTATTCATTGGATCGATGCAGGATGGAAAGCTGCTATTGGTGCAACAATAAGTAATACATTTGGTGTAGCTGGTTCTTAAGCGAAATTAGATGATAATATAACAATAGTAACATCACGAACTTCAAATGATCTAAAGATATCACTATTTTCAAACGACCCAACAACAACAGTAAAAGATGATAAGCAATTTGTAGAATCAAAAAAATTGGATCATTCGTTACAATATGTCAGAATTTGTGGTAAAAAAATGAATGCAAGTGATTTTATTGATATAGATAAAGATGTACCTATATTTAAATAATGGTTTGATAATTGTCGAAGCCTGATAACTTGTGACGTTATCGAGTTTGACGATGCAGATGATTGCAAATCAACAGAATCACCATCAAGAATAACAGAAGCCAAGGAAGTGGTACGAAAACTTCATGTACTGGGAACAAAACAACAACCACAATTATATTGATGAATTAATGATATTGAAGTTAGATTAACTGTTATTTATATTGACTCAAAATCAAAAAGATAAACAACATCAGAGTACTTTTTGAAAAAAAAACTAACTTTTATGTTGTAATGGAAACATTTTTTAGCCCAGGTCATTTCGATGAAAGTAGATGAATAAATGAATAAACAAACAGACTTTCATATAGGACTAATCTAGAAACAGATTTCTATGATATTTTCTTCGTTTCTCAGCAAAATATACTCTAACTCTCTACAATGAATACCTCCGTATAGTGAGCACTTTTGAGCGGTGTCAATAGTGTTCACAATAGAGATGTGTTACTGTATTAAATTTTTCGTTTCAGAGCCTAAAAAAAGTTCTTAATCCTTTTTGATTTGAATGAATTAATCAAGAAATCAAAACTTTTTCTTTCAAATCTGTAAAAAAAACTACCTGTATTAATTTTATCAAATAGATATACCTACAATTTTATCAATGACTAACTGTAGCTTGCAGAGCTCGCTCTGCATCGGCTTGCTATGATCGTTATACTTAGAGAACTATGATTTATACAGTTTGCTCGATGTAGGCTTACAGTGATATTTATATCTGTTGGACTGGAATTTGTAGAATGCGTCAAACTAGTATTTATTTATTTTTTCTTTCTAATTAACTGAAATTTATATAGTTCGGTAAACATAATTGTTTCGAGCAGTGTATTAATTGTTTGTTCTTAAACTTAAACATAGTATCTAATAATCATTATAACATGCAATCACACATCGAATGGACACAAACTAATCGAGGTGCTCATGCATTTATATATCAAAACCAAAACTATAAAAAGAATATTCAAATAAGAACGATTCAGAAATATGGACATGCTGTAATAAATCTAGTGGAGTATCAATGGTCTTACTCAGCAGCATTATAAAACGATATCCAAAAGAACATTCATATAATGAACTTCTACCTTTGGCTGAAGTTAGAACTGTCTTACAAAATACATATACTAAACAGAAACTAATCTATTAGCACGAATAACAGAGATTTATCGGCAACATTTAATACAATATGTATACTTTCACTTAAATCAATTTCTATCTCTCTTTCTAACATATCGATTTTTTATTAGAAAAGAAAAAAGGCAAGGCTGAAGATGTACCCGTTTTCAACTAGATCAGATTAGCAGCTTATCGTCGTAGATCTTCAGTAGTTCCACGAGCTCCAAAAAAAAATATAAGACATCATCATATCTGCTAGTTTAAAATATCCTGAAAACGGTGATCATTGTCGTATATTTGATTATCCAGCACCACATTGTTTTATAACATTATGTTCTCCACAGGCATTAGTTTCATGTACAATGGAGGGATGTGTATTGTAAGTTAGAGAAATTGGACATATTCCAGTCAAAATAAGGCTCTTACCGTCAAAGTAATAAATTAAAAAGGAAAATCGTATTTTCGAAATTTGACTCGTACCTTTATATACATGTAGATCGCAATAAAACTGGCTTGCAGAAAAAGTTTCAGAAGTTTTGGACAACATTGCGCCAAGATATTCAACTCTCAAAATATTGACACTTTTCCATTAGATTTTGTATATTTTGAGAATTTGGAATCTTAAAGAGTTATTGTCCAAAAGTTCCGAAACTTTTCCCGAAAGCTAGTTTCATTGAGATCTACATCTATGTAAAGTTTCAAGTCGAATCTCGAAAATATAATTTTGCTTTTTAATTTATTACTTTGACGGTACGAGTTTTATTTTGACTGGAATATATCCAATTTCTCTAACTTACAATACACATTCCTTCATTGTTAGTGTAATATATTACTGATACTGTAAAGCAGCCAAATAGATGTAGTAAAACTTTGTCGATTATAAACATAGATTCCAAAATCCATTTTTAACAATGGTCAATAGCATTAAGAAATAAACAACTTGTGCTGATAAATGAGCGTTACATATTGCTTCTCTTCTTCTTATAATTTTTTCGTTAATGTTGATTTTGAGATACATGTATCGTTTCCGCTTCATTTGTTCGATTACTTTATAAGGATGCGTTTATAGAAAAATCAAATTGGGTGGTATGATGAAATAATTCAATAAACGTTCTTGTTAATAGTGGTGAATAAGTCAATCTTAACTGAAGCAATTCATAGTAAACGGTTTCACTTTTTATTCTTTTCATGTTAAATAACAAAAATGCGATGAAAGTTAATCTATATTTACAGCAAAAACAAACGAAGAAAGTTGAGAATAACAATATCTATAAATCATCTACATTTTGTTCAAAGATAGAAAAGTAGCGATGAAAATGTGCCACTGTATCACATGATATATACACATATATATATATACAAAATAAAGAAAGACAAGTTTGATCACAAAAGAAGAAATAAAGGTCGTATCGATAATGAACGACAACCTGAAATCGACATGAAATATTACAAGCTTACCTTTGTTATACAAAACAAACAAACTAATATAATAATTAAAAAAAAACGAGAGGTTTTACACATCTTTATCAATGACTAGATAGAAAAAAATGATTCTAATATCAATGCGGAAAAACAAAAATCAAAACAAATCAAAGATTATACTGGTGGAAGTGATTCTGGTTTTGATACACTTTCATTTAATGCAGATGATGGACGATTTCGATTTAATGGTTGATCCAACTTAAAAGACAAAAAGAAATTATATTATATTCTTATGACTTTTTTGTTTTTTTAAATTAATAAAATTTTACTCGATAAACAAGTGAATCTTTAAGATCAACAGGTGCATTATCAAGGTTTCGAGTAATACCAATCTTTTGTAATGCCAATAAAAGAACATGACAAACATTGAGAAAACATATATCTTTTTCATCATTACAAACACGAATTAATTTTTGAAAATTGTAGGCTATTGCTTGAAAATCCCACTAAAACAAAAAATTGTTAGAAACTGCTTGTTGTGTTTTTTAAAAGTAACATATCTTTTTTTTCTAAAGTACAGTCTTTCATTTTTCCATATTTCAACAGTTGAGAGGCACTTTTCAGATAT